AGTCTCAACACAGTTCTATTTAATACACTAGAAGGTCGAGGCAGATCCATGCGACTACTTGCTTTAAGTAGCATTTCACATAGACTTAACCACAATAAATGTGCGTCGCTTTATCAGACAGCTCGAAATGTAAGGTACGATCGTAAGCCTACTACTGCTACTTTTTACAATTAATGCAGAGGTGTGTGATAGAAATGGTGATAGGTAGAAAGAACCAAAGCAGATTTACACGCTACAAACTAAATTCTCACATCATATAGTCGGTGTGACTAAGCATCCCAATTTATGCACGGTGGGAAGGTCCTGTTAAAGATGGAAAAGTTCAAGGCAACTCACTCTACATCGGGTACCTCCGCTAGTTGAAAATAAAAGAGTTTAATGGAGTATAGAGTTTTTGTACGACACGTTATTGGAAAATGATGAACATTGAACTGAAAAACGTTTGCAGTAACCGAAGTTTATAGTTTAATGCAGTGTGAGTAAATCATCACGCCTTAAAATGTGTGTAGAAACTGAACGGAAGAGAATTTCAAAAATCGCCTCGAACAACAAAAAAGTTTTTTTGTGAGCGAGAGGGTCCTTAAGCTCATCTATAGAGCACAAACCTCCTAGAATTAGACTGACTAATGCATCAGTCAATTAAAAAAAGGCTAGAACGAAGTGGTTACACAATGTTTTTCTAAAACTTTTATATGCCCATTATGAATGGCTTCACTATATTTTTGTTTTCTGTTTCAGGAACGTGAAGGCTGGCGTTTTATTGCGCTGGTTATTGATCGTTTTTTTCTCATAGTATTTGTTGTTTTGACTGTAACCGGTTCGTTTGCTACACTGTTATCGGCACCAGCGATTCACAATAAAGTTGAACCAATTGAAAAACGGTTTTCTCAACATCATAATCCGTCACAAAATAATTAAAAGAGATTTTGTTTTTCTTTTAAAATTTCTCTGCAGAGAAAACAAGTAGTAATTATTTCGCGATGTAAATATCATCTCTCTATCAGATAAGTGTAGCTGAGCTACTCTTGTCATTTATATTTTTCCTTTTTTGTATTTTTTGATACTCTACTATTTCTATAAAATTATGGGCAAAGCAAGAAATTGGATATTGCTAAAAGACGCGAACATCCATGAACACCGCCAAATTAAAATCTGAGTTAGCCAATCGATAGAGCTCGTCGAACTGAGTATAACCATCCCTAACGAACACCCAAAAAACTTTTTCTAGTTTCGCTTTTTAAGCATACATTCTGAATGAACACCCACGAACACAAAGAAGAAATGTAAGAACACCAAAAAAAGTGCGTCAAAATCATCTCCAAGTTATTCTGGGCCGAGGGTGAGGTGTGGGGATGAGGGTAAGGTACTGGTAGGCTCACCCACACCTCACTCTCAGCGCAGAACAACCTGGAGCTGACTTTGACGTACTTTTTTGGGTGTTCTTACATTTCTTCTTTGTGTTCGTGGATGTTCATTCAGAATGTATGCTGAAAAAGCGAAACTATAAAAAGTTTTTTGAGTGTTCGTTAGGGATGGCTATACTCAGTTCGACGAGCTCTATCGATTGGCTAACTCAGATTTTAATTTGGCGGTGTTCGTGGGTGTTCGCATGTTTCAGCAATGCCCCAAGAAATTGGTCATACTTCATTTTTCAGTTGTAAAACGAATTTTTCTTTAGCTTGACAGCATCACGAGAAATAATTATTGAAGAAATGATTCTATACGAACTTGGGTGTTTCGTTTTTCTTTTGTATGTCAAACCGAAAACAACAACAATATCGATATTCCATGCGTAAAGGAAGTAATATTTCTCATTAAGGAAGAAATTTCAAGACACTCAGTTTCTACCGTTCGATTTTATATTCTCGTACGTAGAAAAGCAGTTATGGAATTAACCGAAGTCGCCGCAAAATAGACCAAAAATAAATTTTAAGCCAAGAAATATTTGGATAGAGCACTAAAAGGTGCATCTAGTGGTATCTGTAACTTGTAGAATCATTTCGCAGTTCATTCGAAGTAAGCTTAACAAGAGCATACAATACATCATTTCTTACTAATTTTGCTCTTTGAGTTCAATTAGAAATATGACTTTTTGAAGCTTTCAGAAGAAAAGAAAAGAGATTTTCTTGCAGCTTCTACAAGTATTTTTAGTGATATTCCCTATCAGTACGGGCCATTTTATATAGTTCGCTAAATATTACTTTGATATTTGGAAAAAATTTTCGATTTTCCGGAATTACTACAATTACATAAACTTTTTCAAAGGTACTTCTTTGTGAGAATTTTTCCGTAAAAATAAAAAAGCATCACACTCATATATAAATTTTTGAGAAAATTTATGAAATAAAAAATCAGTTTATTGTCTCTTCTCCTTTCATATTTAAGGGTACCTCCTCCCTCTATTGTTACCTTCTTGGAAACCAAGGAAGCCGATGTCGGAAATTTATACCAGAGATAGAACATTGAAAAAGAAAATCGCTATATTTTTGCCCAGAATTTTCTGACGTGTTCTTCTATGGGTTTTCTGGAAAACTAGTCCGATCGAGCTCAAAAGTTTACCACAGATACTTCAGACCCTATCTCAGGTTCGTTTTTTCTTTTCGAAAAATATTCTTTCCTTCTCGAGATATTCGAAAAATACTAAAAGTCCTACATAAAAAATCGGATTTTTATTTTGAAAACCTTTTCACGCCGAAAGTTGAAATCGAAAACGCTTTAAAAAGAACGAACCTGAGATAGGATCTCAAGTATCTGTGGTAAAATTTTGAGCTCGATCGGACATTTTTTGGCGGGGTCGTAATGTGTGCCAATGGGAGGGACTAGTGAAAAAACGCATAGTGAAAAAAACACATTGTGCACATGGTTCTGTTTTTCAGAGCATTTGCGGCTATGCTTATATCTCCAAGAAAATTCATCGGAAAAGTCTGGAAAACATCTCATTTTGAAGAGTACACTTTCTTCTATCATGCTATTTATGAGAAAAAATTTTGAATACATAGGAAAGGAGAGAAAAACTTACGAACCTAAAAAATTGAGATTTTCTAAGCTCTGAAGGAAAAACTTAAAAATTTCATAATTCTTTCAAGGAAGGTCATGAAGAGCTGGCAGTGGTAGATGCAAAGAACGCATGGTCAACGTTATAGCATTATTAAATTCGTTGATACTAAGAAACAGAGATACTTAATAATATCCATGATGTATCATCCACATCTTACATCAGTATAAACGCTATATAGCTCGTGTTCCATCAAGATTGATCCTATTCTGTATTTTTGCCCGCATTACCGCCCAGTTTTATGTAGAACATTACACGTAAAATTACGGCACTCTAGTGATAGTCTTAGCAACTTTTATGTTGTCTGAGTCATATTGAAAACAATAAAAAGTTAATTTAATAAAATTTCATTGTAATCTAAACAACAAAGTAAACAAGTAATAAAGTTGACGAACATTCTATAGCAACTGTTAACAAGTAACGTTCATCTTCGATACACTCGGTCCTTTGACATTCAAGTGTATCGGTTCATAGCATAATTTGAAATAACGTGTCCAATCAGCTTTTTTAAACCTTTATATTTTTGGTTTTATTGATGGAGCAAAGAAAACACTTTTTAGCTGTTATTTCAGAGAACCGAACCATTGTATTTGTATTTATCCTTAAAGTTCATGACTGATATATTTATTTATTTCCACCTACCCTAGTACCCTTCATTTTGTATTACAGTTACACAACTGGCTTTAAAGCATCTTTTTGAGGAAAAAAACATCTTCAGGGATGAGATCCTAAAAAAAATAATTTCCTGCTAAGATTTTCAGATGAAAGTCAAAAAAATTTCAGAAGAGAAGGAAAGCACTTTTCTCGATATTTTCATCGATTAAGCCATATATTTTTTTTCGCCTTTCTGCATATTCTGACCGATTTAGTTGCTAATTAGTCTTTATCTCTCGGAGTCATACATTGAAACATTGTTCTACATAATTATACAGGATTCTTAGATATCCGATAATTTCACCGGTTTCATCATTAACAATAAGAAAGACATCAAGAAAACAAAGTTTAAATTTTTCCTTATTTTCATCGGGAAACAATATTGTCATATAATGTATATTCTTCTAGTTTTCTATAATCTGTTTATTTTTTAACGCGATACTGCACAGAAAGTACACCGAATACAGATTTGGGTGGTACAACGTTTTCTCCATACCCTATAATACTCAAAATCTGTGATTCCTGCTGATATCACTGTAGTAATATAACCATTTGGCATAAATCCGTACGTACTATTGTAGAGATGTGACTTGCCTAGTTCTGCTTCAACACAAAGCCTTATAATATAAAAATACATTTGCTGAAGCCATGATACAGTCTATTCTATTTATCTTATCTTATTTATGTACATGATAGAATTTTTTTTATTTTCTATCAAACACAGAAAGAGAAAAAACATATGCTTTACTCTAAAAATGGAAGTCTATGTCTTACTCCGAAAATAGAAGTAAATATCTTACTTTTGAAAAGAGAGTAAATTCCTAACTACGAAACTGAGAGCAAGCCTTTTACTCTCAAAATGGGAATAAATATCTTACTCCAAAATTGAGAGTAAACGCCTTACTCTGAAAATGGGAATAAGCACTTTACTTCGAAACTGAGAGTATGCCCTTTATACTCTCTAAAAAAAAGCGTATTTTGAAAAACCGAAAGGGTTTAGAAACAACAGTACTAAACCCAAAATGGTTTAGCATCTACTTTACAAAACCCAAAAAGGTTTAATAACCAAACAGTTACTAGAAAATTTTTCCTAAACCAAAAAAAGCGTATTTAAAAACAAAAAGGGGTTTTCTGTTTGACCAAAAAAACTAAAAAGCGTTCTATAGAAAGAGAGCTTCTAGCTTTGATAAAAACCAAAGGGTTTTTTCCTAACTCAATTTGGTTTAGGAAAATACTGTTTTTGGTTTTTCAAGTAGCGAAGGGTTTTCCAGTTTGGGCAAAAATTAAAAGGTTTTTTTGAAAGAGTTAATCAAACACCTTATATTTCGAAGCATTCAGGAATATTATCATCAGTCAGAAGGCCCTCTCCTCTGCTCCTTCAGAATGTCCTCGAGACCTAATTCAGGTGGTAGAAATATGATTGTTTTTACTTTCATCATGCTTTACTCGGTTTTCTATTCAGGAGCATGATGAAAGCTTGTTTTCTTCTTTGTGCACAAAGAAGAAAACAAGCTTATTTTGAAAAACCTAAAGGGTTTAGGAACAACTAAGTACTAAACCCAAATTGGTTCAGTATCTACTTTGCTAAACCCAAAAGGATTTAATAACAAAACATTCACTAGCAAATTTTTCCTAAACCGAAAAGGCGTATTTAAAAACAAAAAGGGGTTTTCTATTTAAGCAAAAAAACTGAAAAGCGTTCTTTAGAAAGAGTCGAAGGCTTTTCTAGCTTTGGTGAAAATCAAAAACATTCTTCTTCCACGGATGCTCCATTTATATAGTCAGGTAGTTTACATATACCAGTAGTTTTAGTTTTCTTTCATAAAAATAAGATCGGAACAGTGTATATGTCTATGAGTGAATTCACGATCTGCTGACAACATACAAATTGTTGTAGGTTTTTTCATATGTAGTAAAATCTGATAAAGAACTGACGTTTTTCTTTCATTTAAGTTATCCAAATCGACGACAGTACGAAATAATAGCTCGAGGGATTGTAGAGCGACTGGGCTTGGATTGTACAAGTTATAATTTGGTATGTCTAAAAACAACTAAATTTTAGTAATATTATCAAATAAAACCTTTTCTCCAGGATACGTGGAAGCAAACAATAATAGTCAAATATAAACGAGAGCGACGTACAACTGAATCGAATATTGAAGTAAAAGCAATGAAAGAAAAATATGCTCGTGTTAATTCTGGTCGTCCG